TGTGTTACCTGATGGTCTACTGTGTAATTATAGCCCTATACAGTAAGGCATTTCCAGTAACAAGTGTGTTACCTGATGGTCTACTGTGTAATTATAGCCCTATACAGTAAGACATTTCCAGTAACAATTGTGTTACCTGATGGTCTGGTCGAAGGAGGCACTAAGCAGCTGACTGTTATCCTTAGAGAAGCTCACACAAGTGATCCCCTTACTGTGGGCACGCTCAAATCTCCGCAAACACTGGCCAGTCATTATCTTCCACACCTGGAACAGGGGAAGCATCCATATCTTTGTTTATAATTGTCATCAACAAACGTTTTGAAGAAAAATAAAAACTGAGAAGCATTGCCATTAAGACATACTTTGATTAAATACAATACTATATACCGGTATAGTTACACCGTTATTTCTGTGGTCTTTAGCTAGCTAGGTGGATCCACAAATTCAGTAACAGTAAATATATCAGTAGAACTACGAAACCAAAACAGCAAATTCAACACAGCAGAAAGCTGTTATTTCAGGTGGACATAGAAATATCATGCTATGAAATAATGGCAGAGTACAGTATTTAAAGGTCAAGATAGAGTTCAAGAATTTTGTATTTATTTGGAGCCATCCATTCTTAATTATAAAACAAGCAATATTCATTATGTTCCATGTTACCTTTAAAAACAGTATTATAAACAAATAGTTTAATTGCACAATTAAATATGTCTGAGAAAAACTAATATATCAATACAGTCGTACTGTTTCTGATAAATCTGCCCATCAAATTACCAATTTCTTATAAAGTCATACAGGGATTAAGTACTGTTTCTGATAAATCTGCCCATCAAATTACCAATTTCTTAAGTCATACAGGATTTAGGACTGTTTCTGATAAATCTGCCCATCAAATTACCAATTTCTTAAGTCATACAGGGATTAAGTACTGTTTCTAATAAATCTGCCCATCAAATGACCAATTTCTTAAGTCATACAGGGATTAAGTACTGTTTCTCAATAGATGTCACAGTTGAATAAATAAAATCAGATGAATAGAATCTTCAAATGTTTGGAAACTTTTCATTTGACTTTGATAGCTGTATGCTATTTGTCTATTACCTTAATTTTGCCGTCCTGTGCTCCCGTTGCCATCATTTCTGAGTCCCGACTGAACGTCATACACAACACAGCATCGTCCATCATCATAAAGTTGTCCTGTAATGTTAACAAGTAAATATCAACTGCAAGATGACAACAAAACTTGATGTAGTGTGAAACATCCATTCTTATTATCACTGACCACATGAAGTGGTCAGGGGGTGGTCAGACTTGTGAATGTGTATTTATGGTTTGTATTTGTTATTTATAGACTTGCGTTTGTCAGAGAATTTTCCCTGTAATAAACAACAGAACTCTAGAGACATTGCTCAGTGGTATATCAATTGCACTAACACTGGCGCCAGCTACGATAACACAAACCTGGCCTTGGTATCGCACATGTTTTGGTAGCCTGAGGCCACTGTTTGATCAGAACCCTACACTCTGTACTATAGCTAACACAAACCTGGGCTTGGTATCGTAGATGTTTTTGTAGCCTGAGGCCACTGTTTCATCAGAACTCTACACTCTGTACTGTATCTATCACAAACCTGGGCTTGGTATCGCAGATGTTTTGGTAGCCTGAAGCCACTGTTTTATCAGAACACTACACTCTGTACTAAAGCTAACACAACCCTGGGCTTGGTATCGTAGATGTTTTGGTAGCCTGAGGCCACTGTTTGATCAGAACCCTACACTCTGTACTAAAGCTAACACAAACCTGGGCTTGGTATCGCACATGTTTTGGTAGCCTGAGGCCACTGTTTTATCAGAACTCTACACTCTGTACTAGAGCTAACACAAACCTGGGCTTGGTATCGTAGATGTTTTGGTAGCCTGAGGCCACTTTTTGATCAGAACGCTACACTCTGTACTAAAGCTAACACAAACCTGGGCTTGGTATCGTAGATGTTTTGGTAGCCTGAGGCCACTGTTTGATCAGAACATTACACTCTGTACTAAAGCTAACACAAACCTGGCCTTGGCACGTGGATGTTTTGGTAGCCTGAGGCCACTGTTTGATCAGAACTCTACACTCTGTACTAAAGCTAACACAAACCTGGGCTTGGTACCGCAGATGTTTTGGTAGCCTGAGGCCACTGTTTGATCAGAACTCTACACTCTGTACTGTATAGTAACACAAACCTGGGCTTGGTATCGTAGATGTTTTGGTAGCCTGAGGCCACTGTTTTATCAGAACTCTACACTCTGTACTAAAGCTAACACAAACCTGGGCTTGGTATTGTTGATGTTTTGGAAGCCTGAGGCCACTGTTTGATCAGAACTCTACACTCTGTACTGTATAGTAACACAAACCTGGGCTTGGTATCGTAGATGTTTTGGTAGCCTGAGGCCACTTTTTGATCAGAACTCTACACTCTGTACTGTATAGGTTAATACAAACCTGGGCTTGGTACCGCAGATCTTTCCTGATTTTTCCGGTGGTGAAGTTCCAGACCTCAACAAATCCATCCACTGACCCAGTGACCAGGTACTGACCGTCGGGCGAGAAACGGGCACACTCTATATGGGCCTTCTGTCCAAACTGTGTTTACAAAAAAGTTATGGTCAACAAAGCATTTCTAGAAACAAATATTTTCTCATTTGTTTCCTAAAAGTTGCCTTTTAGATTCTGAGCAAATAATACATTCATTTCAAAATATTTTATTGTTAATAAATTTGTACAAAAAATATAATTACAAGTATTACATCAGAAATATAACAGTACCGTACATGTATTAATAAAGGGATAAGACAACATGCTAAGTCTATATCAGTCTTTTCCTATAGAACCAGAATCCAATCATTTTGATTTCATTAATAAATCAAAGTTATGGGAGGTAGATAGGACAATAACATGATTATGACAAATTATTCATTAAAATATCAATTCAGCCAAAATATTTAAACCTAGAAGACACTGGCCAAAACAGTGAAACTTTATTGTGGTGATCTTATTTCTATATTACAGGACACACATGGTTACCTTGATGGTCTTACTGAGCTGTGTGGGAAACTTTATTGTGGTGATCTTATTTCTATATTACAGGACACACATGGTTACCTTGATGGTCTTACTGAGCTGTGTGGGAAACTTTATTGTGGTGATCTTATTTCTATATTACAGGACACACATGGTTACCTTGATGGTCTTACTGAGCTGTGTGGGAAACTTTATTGTGGTGATCTTATTTCTATATTACAGGACACACATGGTTACCTTGATGGTCTTACTGAGCTGTGTGGGAAACTTTATTGTGGTGATCTTATTTCTATATTACAGGACACACATGGTTACCTTGATGGTCTTACTGAGCTGTGTGGGAAACTTTATTGTGGTGATCTTATTTCTATATTACAGGACACACATGGTTACCTTGATGGTCTTACTGAGCTGTGTGGGAAACTTCTCCTCCTCCTGTTCCTTCACTGCAGCTTTTCCTCGGAACACATCAATTGTTGTTCCTGTAATGAAATTCCACGTAGATATGTAGGAGGATACTCATGTTTCTTATATAGAGCCGCTATAGGTTTCATCACACCCCATCCATTCTCAAGTTTTACTGTCTACTTTTAAGAACGTAGAAACTGTTGTTTTGTATACCAAGAATCCCCTATAATACTAAAGCATGAATAAGAGAGAGACTGGGGATTCGGGGTTGCAGCTTCTATGGCTGGGTGTATTATCAGGGTTAGACTATTTTTGTTCAGTATTGTTTTGGTTTTGATTTTGTATTGTTTAACGGCTCATCGACAGTGTGAGTCATTTAGGGCCAACAACACTGTCAAAAAAGACATTCACGAAAATAAACACATCAAACCAAAACTTAATAGCTTAAAATATGTAAAGGATTAAAGAAATACATCAATATCGAATAAATTGGCTGCTCAATATATCATATTTTTTGGTAAAGATCAATAAAGTGTAAATAGTCATATATTAATTGCATAGAAACTGTATCGAATAATCTTTTCATAGACGGTACATCATAAAATCTGTCACGTATTTGTTTGAAATTGGCGCATTCAATCAAAAAGTGTTTGGCTGTAAATGGTTGATTGCATGCATGACAATAAGGCTGGTCTTCCTTACGCAAAATGTAGCCATGTGTGATGTAGGTATGTCCTATGTGCAGTCACGAGAGGACAATTTCCTCTCTGCGGTCTGCTCTGCTTGTTGCACATGAACCCAAATTAGGTTGAATTGCAAATAACTTGCTGTTTAATTCTTCAGACCATTTATTTTGCCAATTCCTTTTAATAAAACTTGATATAGAAGGTTTAAAATCAGAAAAAGGCAGTTTAATATCTTTGTTGTCCTGTTGACTAGACTTTCTTAAGGAAACTTCTCCAGAACAGAACATAAAAAGTAACTGATTGTATACGGGACATCAAAAAACTACTATTATGAAGATATGTCGAAGTTTTAGGAATTTTTTTATGATTTCAAGCAATATATTTGTATTATTAGGTGTTTTCCAAAAGATATATTCTAATTTTAAAATCTATCTGTCAAATGATATTGTAAATTTAATATAATTTATTTTACAAGCACAAAAGACCAGTAAGGTTAGTTGATTCACTCGTCCTTGAAGAAATCTAAAGGACTATTGTTAGTGTTACATCCTGAATAGAGCATATATATGACCCTGTGTAGGAGGTGCTATGGGCAGGTATAGAGAAGCTGTTCTATACTCGGGACTTTGGGAGACAACAGAAGTTCAGGCCCGGCTCCTTATACATCACTAAGCCTATACATATTTATACTAACCTGTCAATGCAGTGTAATTCAGTTTTGGATACTGTATCTATTACCAAATGTTTATGGTGCAATCACCTGTGTGTTACGATCATAGTCCTAGATCATAGGTACACATGTACAGTTAAACTAAATTGAAATACTTTAAATGATTATCAACTATACAGGGTTTTACATGAAGCAGAATCCTGCTTCAAATATCCCCTTTTTTCATTACAGGGCCCCTAAAATCTGAACACATGTGTCCCCATGACATCCTGAAATGACAACTTCAATAAATCTAGTCTCCAAACTTTAATTTCCAGTCACAAATTTTGATGATGTATATGACTTCAAGCAATGAATACTGAAAATTATCATTTATGAGGACCACAAACATTTATCTAGGACCCCCGGTTTTCAATCAAGGGGGTCTTAAGGACCCTCAAAGTCAAAATGGAATGTAAAACCCTGCCTTTAACACCTCTATAGGAAATGTCCTGTTAATCTTAATCACTGAAAGTGAACAGAAATATTTCGAGTGTCGTACCTGGGGGAAGGAGCCCTTGGTGCTGCTGCCATTTGAGAGATTGTCCGAGCAGAGCCAGCAGACGTGAGGGAGGCACCACGTTAACCTCTCCAGCCAAGGCTGTTGCTATGGCGTTTCTTCTTCTTTCTTTCGTCTGGCCTTCTTGGTACGCCTTAAGAATAAATAAGAAATACAAGCATTGAAATATGATTCATTAAGAAAACAAGACATACAAATCTCACCATATGATTTCTAATAAACCTCTTACAATAAGTCAGAGGATTTTTCATTATTTTAGGAATGGAGCTTGTGACTTTGGTAATGAGAAAATTGTGTCAGGGTAATTCAAATGGGGAAATTTCAGAATTATATCAAAATTATATTTTTTTCAAAGTACCATTAACTAGACTAATCTATTACATTTTATAAGTGTTTGATGTATTTTGATAATGATAAATAATCAATGTTTAATTCTTTTTATAAAATGTTGTTCATTTGTATCATTTTCATATATGTGATGAATCCAGAATCAATATTTCAAAATCACACTCATGAAATATATCTGTATTTTCCCATATTCATGAAAGATGTATGTTATTTAACAGGAAACCATTAACCACTGTAGACCATAATGGACTTATCCATGGTAGGGTTAATTAAAGTTACAAAGGGGTGAAAGGGTTAATATCCTCTTTCTATCTTATTGGTATGAAAGTTTATTCCAAATGTCATCTGAATACAACTTATGAGGGGATAGATTGTGATAAACACTGCATTTACCTCTCTGGGATCAAAATAGGATCGAGCCAGCATGTTCTCCAGATGGATGTATCGGTCCGGTTGGTTCTGTTTCATCATGATCATGGGATCTGTTTGTCTAAGTAAGGACCTGGCTGCACCCAATTCTCTCAACTCTATCAACTCCAGCACAATCTGAAAAACAAATTATTAATATTACTGTCATGTCTTTCTTGTGACTTCATCTTTTGATGGCCAGGACTCAATAATAAGACATTGACTTAAACAGATAATGAAGCCTGTTATAACTGCCAATCCCTGATACATGTATTAAGAAGCACAGCCTGCAAAGCACCTGTCAACAGTTACCTGAGAGAAAACTTCTTTTTGATAGTAAGTTTTCATATGGACTATTTCTTATAGGGGTGGTCTCACATGATAGGTTCTCTTTATAGTTTATCAAAACTGAATCTAGAACATCGTAATAAAAATTCTCTGCACAAGATAGGAATTTCTAACTGATATTTTTATCATTATCATGAAATCCATGCTGGTATCATTACCATCTTCCAATATATTCTGTAGTATGTATACAGGGTTCGACACTTACACTTGTCCGTCCGTCCTGGACTAGTAAAAAGTAAGGACTAAAGAAATGTTCAATACCTGTTAGTCCTACATATATATACAGACTATTCTTTTTTATCTCTCCCTATCTGATACTGATATGTTCCCGACATTTACTGAGGCCAGAACAAGTAATGAATTTTACAACAGCCTGTTTCTTTATGAGTTGGGAAAACATAGTATTATTTTTATTGAAATTAGCAATATATTCCTCTTATTTTGGTCATTTTGGTAACATAAAGCACTTTTTAGCGAGGGGAAACAGCCTGTATTCGGCTGTAAATTTGAGCACACAAACACTGTCCACATGTGTTTACCTGTTCGTACAGATCGATGAGCTTCTGGTCGGGGAGTTTGAGTGTCTGTATGGCCTGTAGCACAGTATCCCAGTGACCGCTGTTGATGTCCGAGACGAATCCATCCACAGAATCGACGGTGTTGAGGGAGATTCCACTCTCCTCTTGAAGAACAGACAATGTCCTTAACAAGTTGTTCTCCTTCAGGTACTGCTCAATCAAACGCACAACACTGCAATAAATATAAACTTATGTGAAAGAATTGGGGAAAAAAACAGCAGACCAGAACAAAATTACAACCCCTGTAAAAGATGTCTGTGCATATAGTTAAGAGGATCCAAGTTTTGTAGTGCTATTTTTTCCCATTTTGTGACAATCTAGTACCCTCTAGGAGATATAATAAAAGTTTACAAAATTATGAACAATTTTCATGATAAAGTTACCACTGGGATATTTGACCATCACATAGGAGCCAGAATGAGAGGCAATTCACAAAAACTACAGAAAAAATACTGTAGACTGGATATCCGCAAATACTCCTTTGGACTCAGAATCGTCGATATATGGAACAGCCTACCAGATTCGGTCGTACAGGAAACCACCATTAAAGACTTTGAACTATTCGAAATGCTTGGAATGCAGGGTCACGTTACAAATGTCTGAAACACACATATGCTATAATGATATGGGTCACAACACATGTTTATGTGTGCTGTGACCCATATCAGTATAGCATATGTGTATTTCAGACATTTGTAACGTGACCCTGTGCTTGGAACTAAAATTTAACCATCTTGTTAGCTTAAAATTCATTACCGGAAGTGACCATTAATTTTATTTTATTTTATGCATAATTATTGATATGGATATAGAGGCATAACAATGCCTGCGTCCATTATATATCTGTTGTATCCTTATTGTACAGGTCCAGTACACTCTGCCGATTGAGCAATATAGCTTTAAAGACCTATAATAGCTCTATTGACCTATATGAAATAGGTATTTTGAGTGATTTTCTTTTTTAAAGAAACTAAACAAAGTCGCTTTTAAAAGAAGATTGTATCATTAGGTTGATAACAAAGGACATTAAATATAAGTATTCTTTTTAAAAAATAATGATGTAAAAAAATCAGAAATTTTACATTTATGAAAAATGAAAATAAACATCTAACTGTATGCTCTTTGTAGTCAACATTACCATAAACCTTATTGTTTTATGAGACTTTGCTTTCATTTAATGAAATTTGAAATCTGAGAAAATAAAGCTCAATACAGCTATAATTTATAGGTGTATATAGCTACATAGGTCTTTATAGCTATATAGCTCAATCGGCAGAGTGTACTGGACCTGTTCATGTGTTGTATACACTATTGAATCGACTAAAATCACGATAAAAAAAGTAATGTTTCGGCGATTACACGTCTGTTAGATAACCGAACCACGCAGCAGTGAAGCAGACGTAAAACAGTTCAAACAAACAAACAACGATTATTCGCTTTCATCGACTCGACACGTTTCATAGTGAAAGTAAGCTGTATCCTAGCCAAAATCCAATATTGTTGTTGTCATCGATTTGTGGATGTTTTTTGACGAAAACTGAAAGTGCATTTCCTTTTCCAAGACCAAAGAAGGTAACAATAGATTATGTCCATCCTAATGACGCTTTCACAAAATGAGGTGATGCATGGATCGCGTAAATATTCAGCTTTACAAGGAAACTTACTCTGCTGACTCTATTTCGACCGCCATGCTTGTGTTTACAGGAAGTCAATATCACCGAAACGCTTCACGCTTTGGTACAAAGGAAACAAATCGCATGTGTGACTATGATGTTTGTGTTTTTGAGTAAAAAGAGCGGGTAATTTAAACTATGAAAAATGATTAAGGTAATGTTCGTTTTTCCAGACAAAACTGTTCGTCTATATCAAAATAGTAAATTATAGGGATAAAGCATGGCATGCCTGCAAATGTAGATTTAAACATATTTGAATGACAAATAACATATGTTTAAATCAAATGTAGATGCAGATCTTGAAAGTTCCCGAGACCCGACAAATTTTAACGTTAAAAGATTAGAATTTAGAGTATTCCATCCCTAACGTAAGCCGTAACGTTATAACCCAACACAGAATTAGGCTTATATAGAGTCTACGTGTATATTTCCGCCAATAGAAATGAAATTTACACATATGAAGTGTTAATTTTGTAAGCATCTTTGACAGGTCCCGGCTGTTCAAAGTCTGGTTAGTTTAATTACTACAAGAGAATATTTTTTTAAAGTGATTTTAAAGAATAAAAAGGATATACGAAACATACTGTGTTTAATTACGTACAATTCTCATTAATGTAACTTTTAGATTTAGTTTCGATATCTTTCAAAGTATCCTTGATGAGAATATTTAATAAAAGTCTCGGTAATTAGCTAAGCAAACTTTAAACAATTTGGTTATGAAGTAATTGCATAGACGTAAGTTATGTTAACATTTTGATCAACAAGGAAGCACACATTAGAGGCATTGAAGCACATAGTTTAAGATATATAACATAAAATATGTAATAGGAAAGAGAGTAGTGTGCTTCCACCGGGAATCGAACCCGCGATCACCGACTTTCTAGTCCTGTATACGTCTCTGCACTGAGCCAAAGGGAGGCTAGCGATATCATATGTACAATTAAAATCTGCCAATTGAAAATTCTGAACACTTCTTCTTCACTTGTCCAAATTACTCTAATTCCATGAACTTAATCCATGATATATATACCAGAGCTGGATACTTAAATCTTCAACTTTTGCCCGATAGCACCGTTGATTTATATCCTACAAGCTGAGCCCATGGCATGTTCTATTAGGAAAAATATAACAATAAAAGGAATTGATATTCCGTATAGTAAAAATGGAAAAGTTGAAGCAAAAATTGATATGTTTGCCGACGACTCACAATTATTTGCTGGTAATGAGAAATATATTCCTTTAATCTTTAAAGTTTTAAACCAATACGGAAAGGCATCTGGTGCAAAAAGAAAAAAGAAAAAAACAAAAGGCATGTTCATAGGTACATGGAAACAGAGACCTCCTAACTTTAAGGAAATCACTTGGGTAGAGCGAATAAAGGCTCTTGCGATAATGCATGGTTATGGAATAAACTTGGATGAACTTTGGGAAGAAAAAATAAGAAAAATTGAGTCAACCATACGTTGTTGGAAAAAACGAAATCTTACACTTCAAGGAAAAATTCTTATAATAAAATCATTAATACTCTGAACTATCAACTATGAAGCATCACAGACAATCATACCACAGAAACATAAAATCACCAAAAATAAAATAATTTGCACATATTTATGGAACTCCAACTTTCTGGAAGTACTGATTTACCTTCTGAAATAAATATACTGATTTTGTCTAATGTTGAAAAGTACATAAATGCATCCAAACGGTTAGGATGATGTAAATAAATGTTTAAATATAATCAATCTATTATATAAGTTTTTTGCATGTACATACAATTAAATGAATTATTTGCTGTAATTACCTAATTCAATCATAATTGTTGATAGTTGCTAGTCAATTTAGATAATATTGTAAATATCATATAGTGAATGAGTATTGACACGAGTGTGTATAGTGAGTGTAAGTAGTTAATTGTATGAATGTATGATTGAGTGTATGAATTGAATACAATAATATAAATAGCTTATTAATTACATGTATATATATAATATCATACTTACACCATCATGGAGAAGATTGATATAGGCCTATCCTGTTATCTGATCCATTTATATATGTTTATTTATATATATAATAAAATTTGTTAAAACAAAAATCTGCCACACTTGTAATTGATTAGAACCTGATAAATCGTTACCGGTATGAAACCAAGTTTGACGTACAAGTATTTCTATTTCAGCAAACTGATACACATCCAGATGAGGTCACTGTTGCTATTTATAGGTCAACTACAGTTTCAGGGTGGATGGGTGTATGTTATAGGAAATGAAAGAGAAATAAAAGGCCAGAGCAAGATTCGAACTGGGGACCCTCCGAACTCTAGAGGGACGCTCTTACCAATTGAACTATCACATGGTCGCCGACGATTGCCTTTCAGAAAAATAGAAGTTCAGTTACGCTACAAAGTATATATACAAAGACAAAAATGCACACGTACATTTACTATTGTACGCAATACGGTATTGTTTAAACAGAACAGACAAAATATTACACAGGAGCACGGTAGTACAGGTAATAGTCAAGCTCTGTTATTATACTCGTTGAAAATAAAATGTCTGGTTAGCTTCGCCCCATACTATTATAATCGTAAATCAAGCTAACAAAACATGTAATAACATTGCTAAAGTACTGTATTGATAATACACCTTTACCGTTTACGGTCACCCATTCTTTTTCTATTTACGCCAGGACTTAAAGAGGGGGCCACTTTAAGGTGATTTCATATCACTTAATTTTATTCATGAACTAATTTTCTTTATAACTTCGATAACGGCATATCATATTTCAGGAATGTTACTTAAACTTTATGCATACAAATAAAGAGGTGATTTGTTTCGAGCTGGTATGGTGTAAGGGTAAACGCAGATGATATATAACGTGAACCGGGCTTTATCGATTATCCCTAATGGGCCCATTTAAAGGGGGAATTCCTTTTCGCCGCCCTGACAGGATTCGTCATATAGCTGACACCAATAACCCGACAAAAACATCGATATGGGGTTGAAAATCTTGGTCAACAGAGGTTTTGATTTTATTATTAACGAACTAGTCATCGACATTGCAACATACGTTCTACGTGGAAGTGTTTTATAATAATTCATAATAATTATGTAAGTAATATCAGTGACAGCACTCAGGAATTGTTCTCGACTAATGTGGATTTTAACTGGACAGGATAGATACCTATTCTTCAGGTTAGTGCACAGTAATGGTTTGTTTACAAATGGCTACGTTCCACCTGATCAAGGTTAGTACTGACTGACCAGGTCAGTTTAGTAATATGCGGAGTAGGGCAGGGACATTTATAAGAATGTTTGATGAATAATCGACGCTACAAATGTATGAAAGCAGTCAATATAGCTTATGTTATACAAACCACTTATGTAAATATATTCTCTACCTGGCTAGCACTAATTCAGTCTTACTATATATTGTTAAAAGGGGGTTGTCTGGGCTTCAGAAGCAGCCTTTCCCATGCATCCGAATATTTTTAAAAACCGTGCATTGTCCCTTTCTACGTTAAGTGTTCATCCGCTCTTACAGGCATTTGTTAATTAAAACCATTTAAATCATCCAGAAGACCCCTTCCTCTCCCCCCCCCCCCCCCCCCACCAAACCACACCCACACCCCACACATCTCGCCCCTAACCACACCCCCCACCACCAAACCACACCCACACCCCACACATCTCGCCCCTAACCACACCCCCCACCACCAAACCACACCCACATCTCCCACATCTCGCCCCTAACCCAACCCCCACCAAACCACCCCCACATCTCACACATCAGGCATCTAACCACACCACCGCCAAACCACACCCACATCTCACACATCCCGCCTCTAACCACACCCCACCACCACCAAACCACACCCACATCTCACACATCAGGCATCTAACCACACCACCACCAAACCACACCCACATCTCACACATCTCGCCCCTACCCACCCCCACCATCACCAAACCACACCCACATATCACACATCTCGCCCCTAACCACACCCACCACCACCAAACCCCACCCACATCTCACACATCTCGCCCCTAACCCCACCCACCATCACCAAACCACACCCACATATCACACATCTCGCCCCTAACCACACCCACCACCACCAAACCCCACCCACATCTCACACATCTCGCCTCTAACCCCACCACCACCAAACCACACCCACATATCACACATCTCGCCTCTAACCACCCCCACCACCACCAAACCACACCCACATCTCACAAATCTCGCCCCTAACCACACCCACCATCACCAAACCACACCCACATCTCACACATCTCGCCTCTACCCACACCCACCACCAAACCACACCCACATCTCACACATCCCGCCTCTACCCCCACCACCACCAAACCACACCCACATCTCACACATCCCGCCTCTACCCCCACCACCACCAAACCACACCCACATCTCACAAATCTCGCCCCTAACCACACCCACCATCACCAAACCAAACCCACATATCACACATCTCGCCTCTAACCACACCACCACCAAACCACACCCACATCCCACACATCTCGCCCCTACCCCCACCACCCCCAAACCACACCCACATCTCACACATCTCGCCTCTACCCACACCCACCACCAAACCACACCCACATCTCACACATCCCGCCTCTACCCCCACCACCACCAAACCACACCCACATCTCACAAATCTCGCCCCTAACCACACCCACCATCACCAAACCACACCCACATATCACACATCTCGCCTCTAACCACCCCCACCACCAAACCACACCCACATCTCACACATCTAGCCTCTAACCACACCCACCACCACCTAACCACACCCACATCTCACACATCTCGCCCCTAACCACCCCCACCACCACCAAACCACACCCACATCTCACAAATCTCGCCCCTAACCACACCCACCATCACCAAACCAAACCCACATATCACACATCTCGCCTCTAACCACACCCACCACCACCTAACCACACCCACATCTCACACATCTCGCCCCTAACCGCACCCACCACCACCAAACCACACCCACATCTCACACATCTAGCCTCTAACCACACCCACCACCACCTAACCACACCCACATCTCACACATCTCGCCCCTAACCGCACCCACCACCACCAAACCACACCCACATCTCACACATCAGGCATCTAACCACACCACCACCAAACCACACCCACATATCACACATCTCGCCCCTAACCACACCCACCACCACCAAACCCCACCCACATCTCACACATCTCGCCTCTAACCACACCCCACCACCACCAAACCACACCCGCATCTCACACATCAGGCATCTAACCACACCACCACCAAACCACACCCACATCTCACACATCTAGCCTCTAACCACACCCACCACCACCTAACCACACCCACATCTCACACATCTCGCCCCTACCCCCACCACCCCCAAACCACACCCACATCTCACACATCAGGCATCTAACCACACCACCACCAAACCACACCCACATATCACACATCTCGCCTCTAACCACCCCCACCACCACCAAACCACACCCACATCTCACAAATCTCGCCCCTAACCACACCCACCATCACCAAACCACACCCACATATCACACTTCTCGCCTCTAACCCGACCACCACCAAACCACACCCCCATATCACACATCTCGCCTCTAACCCGACCACCACCAAACCACCCCCACATATCACACATCTCGCCTCTAACCCGACCCCCACCAAACCACACCCACATATCACACATCTCGCCCCTAACCACACCCACCACCACCAAACCCCACCCACATCTCACACATCTCGCCCCTAACCACCCCCACCATCACCAAACCACACCCACATATCACACATCTCGCCTCTAACCACCCCCACCACCAAACCACACCCACATCTCACACATCTAGCCTCTAACCACACCCACCACCACCTAACCACACCCACATCTCACACATCTCGCCCCTAACCGCACCCACCACCACCAAACCACACCCACATCTCACAAATCTCGCCCCTAACCACACCCACCATCACCAAACCACACCCACATATCACACATCTCGCCTCTAACCCGACCACCACCAAACCACACCCACATATCACACATCTCGCCTCTAACCACACCCACCACCACCAAACCACACCCACATCTCACACATCTCGCCTCTAACCACACCCACCACCACCTAACCACACCCACATCTCACACATCTCGCCCCTAACCACACCCACCCCCACCAAACCACACCCACATCTCACACATCCCGCCCCTAACCACACCCACCATCACCAAACCACACCCACATATCACACATCTCGCCTCTAACCACACCCACCACCAAACCACACCCACATCTCACACATTTCGCCCCTAACCCCACCACCACCAAACCACACCCGCATCTCACACATCTCGCCTCTAACCACACCCACCCCCAACCCACACCCAAATCTCACACATCTCGCCCCTAACCACACCCCCCCCCCCCAAACCACACCCACATCTCACACATCTCGCCTCTAACCACACCCCACCACCACCAAACCACACTCACATCTCACACATCTCGCCCCTCACCACACCCCTACCCCTCGATTTGTCGCTGGATCGTGTTCATATTCTGCAACCAGCGACAGAACTCGGATGAGGTATGAGTGGAGCTGTCGCCATTGCCTGCCCCTGGAGTTTGAACACGTATACCCTGTTATAGATGTTAACCCTGATTACATACTGTCTCGTAACATATATGCTGAATTACCATAATGTATGTTGTAAACATATATTTCTACGACATGAAGAGAACATTGGAGTTATTCTAGCTCCTAGCACACATAAACCCAGAGACGCATACATCATACTACAATACATGTCTTTGATATAGTACCTAAGGTTTGCTATCAAGCTGAAAAAATGTTGCATAATGGCGGCATGAACAAATATCGCTGCTCACCACTGTATCTCTTGACTTCAGATCTCCCCCCC